AACTCCGATTCTTCTAAGATTGCTACTTTTAAAAGATCCCTCGACCCTACTTTCTTCGCGTAGATAGCTCACTGGGTTTGCTGGTTTTTTCAAGGGGTAGATGTTGCAGCAAATCCATTCTTTGTTATGTGTTTCACTGTTTTCATTTTCAGGACTTCTTGGGTACTTATCTGATTTTTCTGTGCCGCCCAGTCTCCCACTAGCCATGTTTGCTCCGATCTTAATAGGCGCCTCCATTCCATAGGTATAGATTATATGATGTGCCTCCATTCCATAGGTATAGATTATATGATGTGCCTCCATTCCATAGGTATAGATTATATGNGATGTGCCTCCATTCCATAGGTATAGATTATATGATGTGCCTCCATTCCATAGGTATAGATTATATGATGTGCCTCCATTCCATAGGTATAGATTCTATGATGTGTGCGAGGTTTGCTTGAAGGTTATGTATCCCTCTCAAATTCTCTCAGTTTTCCAGTTGTTGGTGGTATCATCCCACAGGTGTTGGATTTGCCAAATCCCTTTTTCCAGCCACTGTCCCCTTTTGGCATCTGTTTTGGTGAGTGACAGACTTTCTCCCCTTTCATTTTTGATCCAGGGTTTGCCGACTATGGGTTGCCTGAGTACTTTGTCCCTTTTTTGGGGCCCCAGTTTGTTTTCTGGGAAGATTCTTCTCCAAATTTGGAGAAGTTGTTCCCAAAAGGATCTGGATTGGTTGTTACCTGTTTCTTCTGTTTGATCTGCTTGTTGGTTGTGAAGCTTTTTGCCATTTGGTATGGGCCATTGTTTATTGAGTAACCAAAATTGGCCTAGTAGGACCCATTGGAGGTTACTTTGCAGGACAAGTCTTAGTAAGTTAGTATCCATTTGATTTGTAGGGCTTGTAATTGTCGGGCTGGGTCCAGTAGTCCTACGCCTCCTGTCCTCTTTGGTAATGTAACTATTTGCCATGCCACTTTGTTTGTCTGGATTACCAGTTCACAGGTAGGCTGCTGCCCTCCTTATTTGTTGCTGAAAGTCCGGTGTTAGGAACCAAATGGACGTGGCATACCACATCCTGGCGAAGATTGAGTTGTTAAGCGCCAGAACCCTGCCTAGGAGGGATGTATGCGATCTCTGCCAGCTATTTATTTTGTTGATCATTGCTGATAACAGTGATGCTGCTGATGTGGGGTGGCATCCGTTTATGTTGAGTTGTATTCCTAAGAACTGGATCGGGGTTGTGGGTTCAGTCCATCGGAAGCCTTATGGAGTATTCGTCATGGGTGGTGGGTTGGTGAGACCCACCAACCTCCAGTCTTTGGCCAATTGATTTTCATTTTCAAGGCTAGTTGGAAGGCTTGCATGGCTCTAGTTTGGAAAGAGGAGTTAGTGGCTCTGATTAGTACAGTTAGATCGTCTGCGAAAAGTAGGATGGTGGGGAGGTGGAGCAAGTTACCCCTTTCATGTTTTATATTTGCTAGTCTTTCTATAGATATGTCTTTTCTAAGGAAAGCTGCGATGACTTCCATGACAAAGAGAAAAATCGGGCCGGCTAAGGGATCGCCTTGTCTCACTGATCTTAACATCGTACAAGGGTTCGATAGGAACCCATTTACGTGTACTATACCCTGGGCATCATTATACAAAACTCTCACCCACTTATGAAATTTTGGTCCTATTCCCATTTTTGCCATGTATGTTGGTAAGAAATCCCAGTTGACCTGATCGTATGCTTTTTCGAAGTCTAGGATTGTGGCTGTAACTTTTTTTTGGTTTATGATTCTGGTTGCTTCAGTTGGGTTCATTACATTGTCCAATATGAGTCTGTCTGGGATGAAGCCTGTCTGGTCGATGGAAACATCTTCCGGTGAGGTTGTTGATTCTGGAGGCTAGTAATATAGCTAAGATTTTATAGCCCACATCTAGGACAGATATAGGTCTATAATTTTTGATGTCTTCTTTATTCCCCTTTTTGTAGATGAGGGTCACTACTCCCGTACTTAGGTATGGGCCTAGGGATTCTTCAGTCCATGCTTTGTTGAGGCAGCTTAGAAGTAGGGGGCATAGGTAATGCCAGCCTGTTAGCCATAATTTCTTAGTTAGTCCATCTCTGTTTGGTGCCTTATTCGGCTTCATATCCTTAAGCACTTGATGTAGTTCCTCAAGGGTGATTGGTTTCTCTAGTTGTTCTGCTGACTCGGCCGATAGGGAGTGGTTCAGATGTGTTAAGAGTTTATTCCTAGCTCTTCGTTGGTCTCCAAGTTAAAGAAAGGAAAAGGTTAAGTTAGGCACACCCCCAACAGAGTGACCAACACGGTAGTCAAGCTTGGTGGCTTCAATTCAAAGGAAGAGAAAGGTTAGACACACGACCAACATGGTATTCAAGCTCAGTGTCTTTCAATTCAAAGAAGGGAAAATGTTAGAAACAGCCAACTGAGCGACCAATACGGTGGCCAAGCTCAGTGGTTTCAATTTTCAAGTGGAGAAAAATACAAGGCACACAACCGACTGAGCGACGGACACAACAACCAAGTTCAGTGGCCTCCAATCCAGAGAAAGGTAAGACATACAACCAGCTGAGCTACCAACACCATAGTCAAGCCCAGTGGTTTCAACTCAAGGGAAAAAAAGTTAGTCATACAACCAACTGAACGGCTGACAAGGCAGTCAAGCCCGACAGTTCCAATTCAAAGAAAGGAAAACTGTAAGTCTTACAACCAGCTCGGTGATCTACAGAAGATCAACCCCCATGGCTTCGACACGAACAAGGAAAATGTGTAAGTCATTCAATCAACTGTGCGATCTACACGGAGATCGAGCTCAACTGACCCAACACAAAAAACGAGAAGATTTATCACACCACCTACTGAGTGACCAGCACGGTAGAAAACCTCAGCGGGTCCAAACAAGGAAAAAGAAAATGAAAGTCATATGACCAACTGAGCGACTGACATGGCAGTCAAGCCCAATGGCTCCCATCAGAAAGGAATAAGATGTTAACCACACAACCAACTGAGCGGCTGACACGTCAGTCAAGTTCAGTGGTCTTCCACCCTGGGAAAAGAAAAGGTCAGACATACAGCCAGTTGAGCGAACAACACGGTGGTCAAGCTCAGTGGCTTCCAACCTCGGGAACGAAAGGAGGTAATCACACGACGAGCCGAGCGACCAACACAATGGTCAAGCTCAGTGGTTTCATTCCTAAGAGAAAAGAATGTAAGCCACATAAGCAACTGGGCGATCCACACCGAGATCAAGCCCAACGGCTCCAGTACAGAGAAAGAAAGTTAGTCATTCAACGAACTGGATAATTGACACGGAGATCAAGCCCAGTGGCCTCAGTCAAAAGAAGGAAAATGCGAGTCATACAACCAACTGATCGACTGACATGACAATCATGCTTAGTGGGTTCGATCAAAAGAATGAAAGAAAATGTACGACATACAACCAACTGGGCGTTCTTCACCAGTAATTGGGAGAGGCAGGATTCGAACCTACGTAGAAATTTATGATTATATTTTGTTTACCGGGTTTGATGTGGGGGGAAGAGAGGGCACACACTGGCCTCATACAATCAACGTTGCAGATAAAGGGACCAGTTGACTGACTAGCGCATTCTGAGGTGTCAACAGTCCTTCAGGCACCAGTGGAGCAGCAGATGAGGAGGCCTTACTTCACTTTCTAGACAACATGCTGAACGCTGGTCCCAGGGATCACTTGATCTCCTTCATGGTGACTGAGCGCATTCGACGATGAAGAACCAGTTGACCAGCACCAAGATGTCAAGAGTTCTTCCAGCATGAGTGGAGCAGTAGAGGCTGGGGCTGTGTTCTCAGCCTGGAGACAGACCTGCTGGATAGTAGTCACAGGAATCAAGGTCTGGCTCAGCATCAGGAATTAAATCAATCCCCTGTACTTGAGAGGCCGTTGGGACACACGGTCTCTGCATGTGGGGCTAGTGCCAAGGTACCAATTGCGGGGCGGTATTGTAAGCTCGTCCCCCCTCAAGGGCGGCTGTACCAGACCTATGTTGTCTGGTACAGAGTTGGAGATCAACTACTTGTGCTGACTGGATTGCTTGCCTAAGATGGGCAACAGAGGAACCAAAGGCTGGCCCACTCAGATCTACTATCAATAGATGGGTGTGAGAGGACTGCTGCAGGGAGGTTCGATAAGATCAGATCTCCCTGTTACCTGCAGGTTGGAGGAAGGCAGCCCGGAGCCTGTCCCTTCCATATAAGGATCTCCCCAACTTCGCTGTCTGGGGAGGGGATGGAACTGCTTGTGATTGGCCTCTTGTCGTGCATGCAACTATCCACCCTCCCTCAATTTGATCACGAGCAGAGAGCCCCAGTCTGTTGACTTCCTGGCAGGGGGGTACCATGTCTCTGTTTGCCCGCTCCTGACCCACTGTGCCTCCCTGGTCAGTGACTCTCACTGGGGGATTGACTTACTTACGAGTACCCCCGTGCCTTTTTTTCCCTATTCAGATTCCCCCTGCTCGCCAACAAAACACAAACAGGCGAAGGCGCATTTTTCTGTTCTTTTGCCTGGCGCCGCCACCCATTTCAACCCGGTAGGCCGAGCCCCAAACAATGCAGCACTCTAATGGTCACGTGGAACAAAATGGCTGGGAAAGGTACTAGTTGTTCAACCAAAATCTTGGACTGACGAACCCGATGTGGTGTGGACTTTGGCTGTCCCATTCCTTCCGAAGATTAGACTCCCGGCTGGCCCTCCAGCACAAGCTGGCACGGTGACTTCATGTTCAGTTATCAAATCACCTTTTCAAATTACCTTTTCACTTTTTCAAATTGAGGCCTCTTAGTATGATTAAGCCTTGTTGACTGATAAATTCTGACTCGTCATCATAGCAGATGGGTGTTGCAGGAAAAAAAAAAAAAAAAAAAAAAAAAAAAAAAAAAAAGATTAGATGGGAACCATTGGATTTGATTGCAAGAGAGGTAACATCAACTGAGATGAGACCTAAGGGCTAAGACTGATCAGCTGACCTGATGCCATGATTGTCGCTTGGCTCCTTCCTCTTTTTCTTCCTCGAAAAGCTCTGGAGGAGTGATGTCGCTGCAAATGGCACCTTGGGGGGATCACAATCATGTTCTCTTGCAGGTCCAGGATCACAGCTTGGCCCTGGAATGCCGGCAGGGAGAAATCCAGGCCCACATCGCCCTCCTCCGTTGAATGACATGACGCGGCTCGCCCTTCATTATTGATTGGTAGAGCAGGACGGGTTGGATCTTTGGACTTGACTCTGCCTGCAATAGTTAACCTAAGGCAGCTTTTTGGCGCAAGAGGGCTGATAGTGGGGGGATCAGAGCGGGGAAGATATGGTTATTAGAATTGCTTCTTTCATCTCCGTGTGGCCAGTGTTGAGTGACAAGTTCTGATGCTGAAAAGGAAACGTGTGGGGAGTGTTCTGCTGCTTGCTGACTGTGGGCAAATGAAGTTCTGAGCATTCCTGCAGTGAACATTGGGAAACAATAGGGAAGTTATAGTTAGTCATCATACATGCATAATTATGTTAGTGTTACGATCCTGGTCATTTCCAAAGTGCAAATTCACAATGAAAGACAATGCCACCCAATTGCGAAAGAAATGAAAGCACTTGCAAAGAGATAGAGACCAGAGGAGAGAGAAAGAAGAAGAAGAAGAAGAAGAAGAAGAAGAAGAAGAAGATGTACACCATCCAGACGAATGACAAGTCCTCCTTCTCTCTCCATGTTCCTCCTCCTCCTTCACTTCGCCAATCTTATTCTTCTCTCAATAATAATCATAACAATGAATGGGATGAACCAGAATCAATATCCGAAGTTCCCTCTTACTGCTGACTCAACTCAACAACAACAACAACAACAAGTCCACCGTAGCTATGGCTTCCCTCCTTCAGCCTCCTCTCTCATGCATAGGCTATGGCGGACTAATGAGGGCCCTGCCCTCCTGTCCAAAGGACAACCCAAAGCAGCTATGGTGCTGCGCTGATGTCCAAAGGACAACCCAAAGCAGCTATGCCGCTGCTGACCGGTCCGCCATGCCTGACTCTGCCTCGAGCTTCCTTGGTGCCGCACTACCCCA